TGACATCCTGTTCAGTGGGTATCACTCTTGTGCTCACAAAATGATGAGATATCAGCTTTTTTATGGAGCTTTAGATATATGTGTGTTTAAATGCTTCAAAACTGATGTCACACGAGCATTATCTGTGTTGACTGAATATGTGATGAAACAACTCAGACAGTTTATTTGTTCCTGTTTGATTCTCACCTGAAAACTCCTCTGACTGTTTCTTTTTTTGTTTTTTTTTGGGGGGGGGCTTTTTTGTGGCTTCAATGGAGAGATAGGACAGAAAAGACACAAAGACGAGAAAATTGGTAATTCACTACAAATAACCCAAATGTCGTGCTCATGTTGCTTTTGCAGATGGAGGATGTACGCATCACCTTTAACCTCAACTGTGTGTCAAACTTCTGACACAGAGGCGCTAATCTCACTTTCTCGACTCGGAAAAGGCCATCAGATAAGACTTTGGGTAAAATTTCACTCCCATGTCTTAAGTGATGTGTCAACTGTCATCTTTTTGTGTGTGCAGTGGTGCAGTGGTGTCAGTTCAGGGTCTGATACCAGAGAGCTTCCTGAGGTAACCTTATGGCATTGTGCCAGGTGCACGGCTGCCTGATCCTGGAGGTGGTCCAGGACTGATACTGTATCTCTGAAGCTCACTCGCATGCTGTGCAACACCCTGAAAATGCTCTTTGAGTAGGTTGAAAAATGAATACAAAAGACATATACAAAATGTTAATTATTACGTCGATGTTAGGTAGCACATTACCATACACCTGGCCATGATACAAAGCTGTCCTGGACTCAAGCAAAGCACACATTTGTCTGCCTCCAGAAAAAAACAAACATAAAAGAGACATGTAACCAGCAGCACCTGAGATCTGTGCTGTAACTGTAAATCCTCTTTATTTACACTGCAGCCTGTGATTCACTGCAATTAAATTAATTCCTCTTCTTAGCAGATGGGCTCAAAGTTTTACACTTATGTTACACATGAAGCAGCGTTCACTAGATATGTTAAATTGTCTCGTTTGTAAGGGTCATTTTGCACATAATTTCCCCATGCTTCACTCTTACAGTATTGTTGCAAAGGGGAATCAAGCTGCAGCCCAGAGTGCAAAGTAGGTTACACAACTGCAGTTTTCAGCAGCAGTGATCTTATCTGTCGCTGCATGTGAGCAGCGCAGGCTGTAACAGCCAAGCAGCTGTGTGATTGGGTTTGACATTCCCCCTTTAACAATGAGCCTCTTGTCAACATTAGCCAGAGAGCAGCGGTGACCTTTCTTACAAACATACAAACCGGCCTGTGTCATGCAATGTGGACACAAGAGGCGTTTTTTTTCCCCCTGTGAGAAGATGGAAAAGACATATCTCTCTTCATGTCTTTGTTGTTTTATTGATTGTACAGCCTAACAAAGTGTGTGTTCTTGTTCATCATGGCCTCTGTTGAGTCCTGCAGAGGGAGCTCCTGCGTTGGCTGTGAGCTGCAGCAGACTGAATCCTGCTGTCAGTGTTGTCTGTCACATGTGTCTCCATGTGAGGCGACCACAGGAGCACAGAGAAGCAGGAGGAGGAGGAAGGAGACCTGCTCTGTTCTCAGCTGTTCAGGCCAGAACTGACTGTTCTGTGGAGCTGTGTGGGTGAGACTGTCTGACTCCCCGATCCCTCCCCTTCATGCTCGATCGCGCACTGATTTCCTCTCTCTCTTTCTCTTCTTGTAGTGCAGCTGGTGAAACACATGCACAGAAGTCTGACAACACAACTTCAAGACTGTTTTTAAAAACTGCACTCCACTGTTCTTGTGAATATATTAATATACAGTATTTATGTGTTTATACAAATCATTTAGGTGTAATACCACTCTTTATAACATTATTAGAAGCTTATAAACAAAAGCAGCCAGACATCCTCTTAATATTTAAAATAGTGGTACACGTGCACTCACCTGGATGAGTAACACAACAAATGTTTTGTTAACAAGCAATTTTTTTAGGCAGTGCAGATGCCTTTTAACCACAAGCTGCAGGGATTGTTGTTCTTCTGGCGCCATCGTCTGGTTGTCATAGGACATTAAAGCCAAAAACAATCAGTGTTCTTTTCTGATCATGAGGAGTCATGATGACTAAGGGCCTTGACTTGAAACAGGGCTGCCAAACACCATCAACAAACAAGTGTCTGAAAAACGTTTCCATGCCAACAAAACAATAATTTTTCTTCTGCAGGTCATTTTGTTGGACATGTGATAGCAGCAGAAAACGTGGACAACTCTAACATTTACACATCATCAACATTTAATTAAGCTCTTTTAATTACACATAAAAGCAAGACAATACCAAACTTTTATCAAGAGTTTATTTTTCTGCTGAAGGAAATTCCAACATGTGGACACGAGAAGCAGTAGGAAAACTACAAACCCTGACACGTATTGACCCACAGCGGCCCCTGTAGCTGCTTAACACTCCAGTATGTTCCCTATAGCTTACTGTTGATAGCTATGGTAGCTCTAAGCGAAGAGTGATCCCTACATTTCATTTGCTCCATATTCTGGTCATATCCATTTCCTTTCAGTTGTTTTCTCAAATGCTGGTTTTCCCTTGAATAAGAGTTCATTTTAGTCTGTTTTCCCGTGATAACATCTTTCTCGTTATCTCAAATAGTTGGGATTACTAAAACCTACCAGAGCTACCACGGTATTTCTGCAAGCTTGACGCAGCATGTTGCTACTGGGAGCTGCAACTGTCACTACTGTTGCGACCGGCCTACCGTTAAACTACCGTGTTAGTTCTGGTGGGTCTAGCCTCTGGTAGCTACCACGGCAAATATAATAAGCTCCCTTTTTTTTTTTTTTGTTAAATGTTCTGGTGCTCTGGATTAGAAAACAAAACAATAGACTGGTCACTGAAAGGCCAGACCATGCCATGCTGCCAAGTCCCAAAATAAAGAGGTTATATAACATACATTTATGTTTGTTTTGTGATTTTGGCAACTCTAGGGATACGGAAAAAAATAAGTAGAAATCTTGTGAAAACAACTGGAAATCACAGGAAAATGAAGAAGGCTACATAAGATTCATTGATATGTCCGCTGAGGGCTTCCGTAGAAAGCTGCATAGATTGATCCATTTTTAATCAGAATCAGACTTTATTTATTATAACAGCTATAATGTGACCCCTTGTACCACAAGAACTATCTAAGGTGGCCTGGCAAGCATGCCCAGGAAAGTTTTGGGAATGTAACATTAGCTAGCCTAGCTAATGTTTTAGCATCACCTGAACTGGGGTTGGAAACTTCAGGAAATGTAAAAAATGGTTCTCTAGGTTTTCAAAATATTTAAACAAAACAATGTCCTAACCTCTCCACTAATACATGAACTTTGAAATGTTGACAGAGGAGCACTGTCAGGCATATCAATCTAACTGTGACTTACAGAAAAGCAAACCAAAACCTCACCTCTCAAACCTTCTTGTGTGCATTAAAAATGTCATCCATCTTTTTCCTTCCCCCCCCTTTTGCCCTGCTTGGTTGAAGTGGCAGCGGGTTTAGCGAGCCAGAATGTTTTACACAAAGAATCCGAAAGACAGTTGAGGATAAGATTGCTTGTGTTGAAGAGAGGTGTGATATCTCTTTGTTGAGATATGTGTGTGTGTGTGTGTGTGTGTGTGTGTGTGTGTGTGTGTGTGTGTGCGTGCGTGCATTGCAGAAGCAGTTTGATATAATTTGAACTATACTTTGAGCACCTGCAGACTGTAATCATTAACATGTATGAGTACATAGATTGATATGCAGTAAAAGAAGAACAACAGTAAAAATAATTCTCCGTCAACCGTCTGTGAGCATTTTCAGTAGTAATGGTGTGAGAGCTGAATGAATGTGACTCGTGACTCGTGCTGCAGTGATAAAAAGGTCGTGATAAGCATGTGAGGCGCAGATAAAAAAAATGCTGCTGCTCTGAGGTTTGACATGAGATACAGAACAAGTATGTCCGGTATCTGAACACTGACTTCTGACTGCAGCTGCTGTCACAGAACACACAGGTCTGCTCTCTGCTTCTCAATGCATCACATCAGTATTTAAACACCAAAGTGAATTAAATACACAGGTTTGATGTTTGTGGTTTGTTTTGCATAATAGAAATTCTGTGATGCTAGTAATATAATATTGTATGATGACTTTATTTTGTGTAGCACTTTTTTAGGCACACAGTTTAAATCAAATGAAACATTCAATCAATACATTTAACAATTAAATCAATCAATCAATCAATCAATCTTAATTTGTATAGAGCCAATTTATAACAAATGTTATCTGAAGACATTTTACAAATAGAGCAGATCTAATATTCACGACGACCCAACATAAACCCATCATGAACACTAAGAAACATTTTTGCATAGTTATAAAAATGTCCTTTAAGAGGAATAAACCTGGAGCAGAACCAGACTCATGTTGAACAGACATCTGCAGAGACTGTGTTAGACTTGGTAAAGAGAGGGAGAAGCAGGAAGAAGGAGAAAGATAGAGCAACAACAACAACAACAACAACAATGACTGAAATAGATTTATTGAATGCCAGAGATAATGTTGAAAGTTTGTGTAGTATTAGCAGTAACAGCTAATGGACTGATCAGTCTAATATTAGCGGGAGGACTGATTATGTGACTCATTGCAGTTGAAGTTGAGCAGCCCTTAGATTCATATTTACTAATTGATTAGTTCACATTCAACAAATTAAATAAAACAACATTCAATGAAACAACAACACAACAGAAGTAAGAGAAAACAAATCAAAAAGAAGAAATTAGGGGTTATATTTAAATATATAACGAATACATCACATCAATAGTTAGAAACAGGTGTCGACTTAAATATGACATAAGATCAGGATATAAGGAATCTAAAATCATGATTTGTATACATGTATGTTTCAACCTTTGTATAATAAATGTGTGTTCGATGTTAAAGTAGAAGATCTCACACCCGGAAGCCTCAGGTCACAAGGTGTGAAAGGACTTTGGACAGGGGAAATTGCTGTGTCTTGTGAGAGATGCTCCTAAACCACAACTCAGGCACAAAGCCCGAGATGCACAGGTGACTCCTGCTTCTTCTCTTCAGGTACGCAGTTTGACGTTTAATATTGATTCTGCAGACAGAGCCGTGTAATCTGGTTTGTAAAGACTTTGTAGCTGTTTTCTAGCTGATATGATCTTTGTACCTGGATACGTTTTTGTAACATATGTTTGGAAATGTATTTCTGTGTTCAGAATTAAGATCATCGGATGTTTATCAGATGATTATTATTTTATTTTGTACTAATGGGCATGTCTTTTAACAGCAGTGAAATTATACATTGATGTTTGCATGATAGCACACAGTCTGTGTTAGGCACAGATTTGAGCAGGAGTTCATAAACATTAACAGAGTCATATGACTGTCAGCCTGACAATCTAATATGTAATAAATCCAAGTCTTAAAGTCCTGCCGGGATGCTGCATAAAGAGGAAATAAAAATATAAATGTACTTTTTATTAAGAAACATTTGTAAGCAGAAACAAACAAGATATTATGTAAAGATGTTATGGTTGTTGTCACCCCTAATAAGTGTAACATTTCCTGACTGTAGCTGCTGTCACACGGTCTGCTATGGAGACGTTCGGTCTGAGGAGGACTCAGTCCCTGAAGAGTCTCTCTGGGGGTCAGGAGAGGTCATGGGTCATGCCAGCCTCCACCCGCTGGGACAGGAAGTCTGTGTTTCAGCTGGTGCAACAGTGAGTTCTATACAATATTATCCACGTGCACATTCACTTACAACCCTACCTTACTGTAAGAACAGCCATGATTCATGCTACATTTTTAAGGAGATTATCAAGCAAAACAAGATGGCTGTTCATTCAATGTTTTCCACTGCTCTAATTAGTAAATAATATGTTTTTAAAAACTACGATTTAAATTATACAAACTAGTTGTTATTTGTTTTTTTTTAGTCAAGAATTGTTTTAACTTTCAGGCACCAAAGACCGATTTTGTTACTTTTTTTTGTTTTGTTTTTTTACATTGCAGGTACAATATGTCAGTTTGCGTCAGGGCAGTCCTCAACCCTTTTTTTACATTTGTTCAATGACAACGTACATTTTTTTCAAATTAAAAGAAAAATTGTAAAAATGAGTTTCCACAACCTTCAGATTCTAGTTTGCATTAAGCTGAGAAACAACAACAACACACAGGTCCAACTGATTATGAACATGAATTATTTATGTCTTGGATTCATTTGAAAAAATCCAGTTTCTACATTTTTTCAGGGTGGAAGGTTTTATGAACTCTACCACAGATTAGTCTTTGCTCAAAGTTGAAAGTGCCATTGTAATAAATTTGTCAACGAATGTCTTCAAACAGTTACCAAAGCTGTGCAGACCTAACCAGTGACAAAAAGGTGGATGTTAAATTTCAGGTAAGATATATATATATATATATTTTTTTTTTAATTCCATCTCCAGTTATTTGAGCTTCATACCACTCCTGGGAGTGATGTTGTACTGGGCGTCAACAGCTGTCATAGATATGCTCAACAGAGGCAAAAGAAGAAAACAGTAGAATAAAAATAAAAAACATAAAATTCTTACTCCACCAATTTAACTTTTTCCACATATTAACTGAAGTGACCTGTTGCTAAGCAACTCAAACTCTTGCTGCTTAGTTTGTGCCCATAGTTACCCCAGACCATCTACTTAGTTTTACATTTATTTGTATGTTTTAATTGATCATGCAATGAGTAAAATAAGAGTCTGTTTTGTGATTAAGAGGTACCAGCATCCGGCTGAGGCGGAGGGATACATGTTGACTAAAGTCCCAGTGATGTTATTTCCTATATCAGCACTCATTGAATGCCTCTTGTCCAATCAACAAGCTGTTGTATAAAAATGTGATAAATAACAGAACATAAAATCCATCCCTGCTGTCAGGGTTCAGAGAGCTGTGTGGACGGGGGATGGAGGAGGATGGAGAGCAGAGAGAGTTTCTCTCTGGGGGGGTCTGGAAGGAGCTCCAACCTGTCGAGGAGTCGCTCGATGGAATCCCTCCCTCAGAGAGACACTTCAGGCACTAAAGCTCTGTGCGCTCTGTTTGAGTCCAAGGCCTCCCTGCAACAATGCTTCAGCAGCTCCCCACTCTGCTCTGTGCCTAATAACAGCAGTAAGACAGGGAGACAGTGCCCCCTGCAGGACTGGAGAAGTCACAACACTTCTTTAAAGGAAACATCCATTCAGGTGTGTACATTTAATTCATCACATCACATTTAATTCAGCATATTTACCGTAAAGCAATGAACTTCACTTTACGTGTGAGAGCACGGACTTTATCTTAAGAAGGGTCCATTGTCAGCAAAGTTCGCTGGTCGGTTCTCCTTCCAAGATTGAAATGTGATGATGATCATCTGTGGACGCTGAATAAGAAGCTAAAGCAGGTGGTTAGAAACTGTCTTGGGTAACAGCCCACATTGCAGCATTCATAAAGCTTACATGATATGTGATATCATGTGACCCTTAGAAAAAATAACATACAAAATGAACTGTAGGTCTAATTCTCTCAAAAAAACAGAGTTGAGGTTTTGCAGTTTTGATAAAATGGTGCAAAAAAAAAGATGAACCCACTATGTTGTGAACTATTGGTTCATGATTCCTACTTTTACAATATGAACTTTGATATTTGATGTTGCCATCTTGGTGTTGTGAAGCCTGTCGTGACCATATTTGGCCAACTTTGCTCGGCCACTGTCCTGGTTGTCAGGTGGCCCTGGGTGGCCACTTGACAATCGCAGGCCACAGAAAGGGGCCATGCCCTAAAGCAAGACGGTTATTAGTGTTCTATTTCACCTTGAAATGATACCTTAATGTACAAAAACAACACCATGATTTACATTTGAAATCTTAGATGGCGTTTTCTGTATGGATGGTGGTTTCTGGATGTCTCCTTTCTTACGTTGAACAATTCAAACCAAGAACTATGTGACTTTGCTTCACAACTTCATTCAAGCCAGACAGAGCCGCAGACTTAACATTGGGACTCTGTTACTAGTCTTTACTATGCTATGCTATATGCTAACAATCTCCTAGCAGAAGCTTACATATGAAACTGGTACTGATTTTATCATCTTTTTCAGGAAAGAAGAAAAACTCATTTCCAACATGTCACAAGAGCATGTTGTAATTTTCTGTATGTTGTTTCTTCACAGACAAACTCCACGGGAGACAGAGGAAAGGTCACGAATGGGCTGCCAGAGTCTTACGACAGATCATTCAGATACTCACACGGTAAGCAGCAGGGCTGGATTACAGGTTGAGTCATGGAGATCTGGGAGGACAGGGGGGGAAATGTGTGCCAGGGCTTCCCTTATGACATGAGATCACTGTTTTATTTTGAAGGCATGTTTCACAATCATGTTTCACAATCAGTTATAGGACAGCATTTAGAAATCACAGTCAATGATCTTTGTGTTAATTATTGTCTTTGGGGCTTCTTTGAAACATGTGTTTAGGTTTAGATATATACCCGTCTGTGCGTTCTGACACATCCATCATATCAAATAAATCCAGATTAAGTTACAGCAGAGTAAACATGTCGCGATCAAGGCCTCTGCTCTTTAAAGTGTCACTTTGTACATCCTGACAGAGCTGTGTGTTCTCCGTCTCTGTGGTGAAACAGCTAAATAAAGACGAGGATGAAGCATGTAAAAGCATAACTATGTGTTGGGCTTACACGCTTAAGATAGGAGTGAGGCTGCCTCTGATGACTGACCGTGACGCAGACCTTGGCCCTCTGAGCCATGCCTCTCTGAGTCCTGTAAGTGATATCGCTGCAGTATCGTAGTTGACGTTTTGACCTTGTGATGTGTCTGGAGTGAGTTAAACTCAGGTAGGAATGTGAGTGGACAAATACAGTTAGGATTACTAACAAAATTATCAGTGTGTAGTTCCCCAAAAATGGAAAAAAATATGTTTGAAGTTCAACTTTTCTATTTAATCTTGGACTGTTTTAAAAGTAGGAGACACCTGGAAAACCTCTTTTTAAACATCAGCGTTGTATTTACAGCCATCCCTGAGGCCTCCAGGAAAACCTGCCCACAAACATTTAGCATTCAGTCATATTAGGTATGAAAGTGAATATTTAAGTTCAAATATATAGGCTATCCTTTCTGAGCAGCAGCAGGAGAGCCTGAACTGCTAAGTTTAAAGAATCTGTTCATACTGAAATTATTGGCAGCAGCTCTCCGTCATTGTTCAGGAAGCTTTGACACAGCGTAAATCATTGCCCCCACACCCATTTGTCTACATCTCACGTCCTTTATATTAAGAATATCTACAGCTCTGTCTAACTGTTCTGTTTTTGTGGGGGGAGGGGGACTGAATAAGAACTGTAGGGCATTTTAAAAACAGTGGAAATAAACCAAGAAACCTTTAAAAAGATGTTCTGTTGTTCTGATGGGTTTCAGATTGGATCACATCTTGAAATGTTGTTGTTTAAAAAAAAAAGGATTTTGAAATTTGGCAGGATCAGGTATCCAGTCTAAGCTTCATCCAGATAAAAGCTCCAGTTTATGTTTGTTGAATTCAGGACGCGTTAGAGGAACAAAATCATATGAAACTTTTAAATGGGTTTAAAAAAAACAACAACTGCCCTTTTACCATTACTTCTTTAGAATAAATGACAAAACATATTTGGCACTTATATGCTGTACTACTACAGTGACATAGTCGATAAGACAGGGATTAGAAAGTGGTTGTTAAACAGTATGCAGGCTATAGGAGGTAAAATCTCAGTGAACCGCTTAATAACTCTAAAACTGGGCCATCAGGTTTGTATTTACCGATCCAGTGGATTCACTCGGAAACACCCTGAATTCCCATTTATGAAGTCTGTTAATTCAGATTTGGTAAACTATAAATTCGGTATCTGGCTCAGGTTGATCCAGTCCAGCTTTTTTCTTTGAAAATGCAAAAAAAGTGGATTTCCAAATCCAGATCATCTTATCCAGAATAAAACCTCTGAACAACCAGGATCTGGTCTATTATTATATTCTAGCAGAATCTATTTTTTACTACTTATATGAAAAGCTTTTTTGTATCCTAATAAGTGTAACACTTCACCAAAATAAGCCTTTTAGTTTGAGTATTTTTTGATTATTTTGCACTCCAAACACACTGACACACATACAACAACAGGTCCCACCCAGTGCCCGTTATAGTGGGTGACAATGTATCTGTGGGAATGGGAGGTGGAGGGGTCCCCTAACTGACTAACACAGGAGATTGACTCAGCCGGATAGCAGCACCCTCCCAAAATAGCCAAAGTCTTCCAGCGGGGCTCTGATAAAAATCAGCTGTCACCGAGGCCACAGGACGAGAAAGAGTTCAGTCAGAGAGAGAGAGAGAGAGAGAGGAGACAGACGGTATTATAGAGACCTGAAGAGACACACATCACAACTGAGGAGATACAGGGAGGGACCCAGAACCACGCCGGGCGGTGTTTTAGTAAGTATCAGGAAACATGCTAAATGAAACGTGTTGTGAACGTGTAGACACTGTTAAAGATTAAGCACAACTGTTCATTAATGACTGCAAAACCAGCTTTTTATAGTATTGTTATTACTGACGGCACTTTGTTTCAGTCCGAAGAGGTTCATAGCTCTGAGATTAGCAGAATAAACTATTGGAATGGATGCTCTGCACTTTTCAAAACTAATACAACTCTTTATGTCAAAGTTTCTAATTTTTCCAGTGTATCAATATTAAGTTCAATAATTCGATGACCAACTTTGACTGACAATGGAAAAAACAAAAACAGAAGTCTTTGATGATCTAAAAGCTTTCCATTTGAGTTCTTATTTACGGCTATTTCCATTAGTGACATGAAAGTCACAAACCGTTGTAAACGTGTCATCTTCAATAAGTCTTAAGTGGATACCGATTCACGCCTCTTCATCCTTAGAGATGTCAAGAATGAAAGGTCAGACATTAGCTTTCCTTTTCTTCTATCTTTAGAATATAAGTAAGTATATCAGTCATAAAAGTAATAATGGTAATCAGAGATAACTTCTATCAATGTGCTACTAACAGGTCTAATGCCTGACCAGCCACAGCTTTTCATTACCGTCTTTGAATGTGGCTACAAAACAAAAAGGATGACATGATGATGATCTGAGTTCTCTCAGTTTGGCTCATATGTTTGACTTTTTTCACAAGTCATATCTTGACACAAACTGTATTCTGCTGGCATCTTCATGAAGTCTTAAGAGCATATCAATTTACAGCCATGTATCCTCAAAAATGTGTGGAATGTGAGCTCAGACATGTGCTTTCTGTCTTTTCTATCATCAAAAGAGCCACGATAATCTGTGAAAATGAAGCAGGACATCTGTCGTTTGAGGAATTACGACAATCGGATGTAACTTTTATTGTCGTGCGATGTGCTGTTTGTGAGGCTCCGAGGCCCTCCTGCAGATCAGCATGCAGGTTTTCATTACCGTCTGTGAATGTGGCCACAGTCTGCGACAGCTGATGGTTGTGAAGGTGGTGGTAGTGAAGAAAAAATACCAACTGTATCTCACCGTCATTTGTACAGCTGCCCGCGGCCCAAAACGCCCCCACATTACTGCGCTGCTAATAGCTCCTCTTCATTCCTGCAGAATGAAGGCAGATCAAAGAGCTGTCAGCGGGAAACGCTTTCAAAGTGTGGGAAAAACTGACCAAGGAAAAAATAGTAAATGAAGCTCTGAGATGCTTTTAAAGCTCGTGAGGGAATTTTAGAGTTATGTCATCACCGATGCCCCTGTGGACAATGTGTTATTTTCACCTTTTTGCTTATCTCTTTATCAGTTCCCATCAGTTTATCAGTTCCCATCCGGATTTATTTTTAATTTTGGATTGGGAATATTTTAAAACAGCTGTTTCCCCAGGCTGCTGTTAATCCCCTCATCTGTACCCTGACGAGCTACCCTGATGATTTGGTTTCCTCTTCGGGTTCATTCACGAAGCGTGAATAAAAAAATGTAGTTGGTTTCTATTCCAGCTAAAAACTCCGAGCTCTTGATTCAAGTGTGTGCGAGTGTTTGATGATGACAAGTGATGAAGTTGACCTCTCAGTTTAGGCGGTGAGGACTCATTCTGTCTGCTCATTCAGCTATGAAAATGCTTTAAGTCCGGACTCGTGAGAGGCGCCGGCCTGCTGGTCCATCCTTTTGTCCTGGGAGGGCTTAGTGGGTGAAAGAGCGAGGTGTGTGTTCAAATCTGGACATTAGTTACAGCTGGATGGCACTGTGCAACACACTGGACTGTTGACCTCCAGCCATATTGTTCCCTGTGCACTTGTTGCTGAAATATTTCCCAAATGAATCAAATCTTCCATACTCCTAAATGAAACTGATATTATTAGCGTACAAAAGTATTTGTTTATTGAATAAATATGTATAACAAGGTGAAATACACACTCAAGGCCGAGATGATTTCCACATTTTTCCCCGGGATTCGGCTCTCACATTCCTGCGGTCAGGTGTTGATAGTTTGATGGCAAAGAGCTCACACAAACAATGTGCAAACAATCTGTGTAACTCCAGCTGAGCTAGCAGTTGCTGTTTTTTTTTTCTTCTTAGGCGTCATGGTCAGTCAGTGGTATGCAGTTTGGTGAGGCTCCCAGGCAGCAGGCAGGCTGTGTGGGCCGGTTTGGGATCAAAGCCAGCGTAAACAAGCTGTGTGGTTACAGTGTTTGTCTTTAACTCAGTAAATCATAGTCCTACATTCAGTTAAATAAGAAGTCCCCCTAAAGATGCTCAAAATCCCTGCAGAGACATCGTATGAAGCTCTTGTTGCAGATGAAGTATTTTCTGAGCGTTAACAGGCAGCTAAAACAGTGATAAGAAAGTTTCCAGCATCACTATAAATAAACACCATCAGCATCACTATAAATAGGCATGCACAGTGTTATCATTAAAGTCGTTGGTGGCACTAACACACTCAGCTCGAGTCCCACTTTAACCATGCAAGTCAACTTATCTAAACAAGAAAAAGCTATTCTTTTATGAACTGGGTGAATGATCTCAGTCTTTGTTATTGTTGAGGAGAATTTGGGCTCATGTCAGTGATATAGATTATTTGGCTCCACCCAACAATGAGTCATCTCTTTAAGCTCCAAGCAAAGTACCACTATTTTCACAATTCACACAAATGTAACAATCTTTTGACCAATAAGGGAATTTATAAATGATTCATTATAATTATACTAAGCCCTATAATGTCCAATAATAATAATAATAATGTTTGGTATTAAAAACACTAAAAATGTCTTTTTAATTACATTATATAATGACACTCCTTGTTATCCATTTCAAATTAAGGCACGAAGAATAAAACAGTTGTATAGAGAGATGCTCGATTGTGAAAATCCAAGACGATGCCAATGTTTGGTAATTGACGATGTTTCCTTTTTCCTTACTTTTTTTGGTGTAAGACTCTGCCTACATTTCCTCTCATGTTTGACCATGAAAACAGATCAGAGTCTGTCCAACAGGTGACTTCCTCTGTTCAATAAAAAACCTCTTCAATCAATCTGCGGTTAGGGATAAAGGCTTAAATTGATACGACACAAGAGACAGCCGATATTGGTTCATGAGAATTGATTTGCCGATGTGCCGATGTCTGTCAACAGGATCAATATCACCTGATACCGAAGATGAAGCAATTCATCCATGTATGGCTAAACTGTTAGCTGTTTATTACTGTAAATGTGTTTGGATTGTACTTTTGTACAAGTCTCACCATGCTCTGATTTTATTTCTAACCAAAGTGAGGTTTTTTTTATTATTATATTTTATTAAACTTTATAGGATCACCTTTTTTTTTTCTTTTTTTTTATCTACTAAAAAACAGGAAGGAGGAAACCTGCACTCAGACAGGATTCGTCTCCGCTTGTTTGCTAACTGAATATTACTTTCTGCAAATTCAGACTGAGATTGCAAATTCAGACTGAGATCTTCCAGGTAGATTTGATGATTGATTTACATTTTGCTGTCCTTTCTGTTGCAGATGACAAATACAGTCCATCACTGACCAAGGGGGGCTCCCCATCAAGACAAAGCAGAGACAGGATATCTTTGTTGTCGTCGGTGAGAGACAGATCAGCTCTGTATCTGTCGAGAGCAGCAGCCACAGACTGCACAGGAGGCTCCACTCACACAGTGAGTTCCTGACATACCTCTCATTCCTCCACACACACTGAGGTCCAGGGCCTCAACAGAGAATGACCGCTATGCTCTGTTAGAATAGAAGAGACCCAACATTAAACAATAAATCTGTCACATGCTTTTAATCTAAAGCACCTGTGCAGAATAAAGTAACTCATGATTCAGATTAATCTGACCCACATTTTTTATTTTTTTTTGTTCACCAGGAATTTTCTGATACTCCAGTGACAAGGACTAAAACCACAAAGGTACTTTAAAGTTCTCTTAGTATCCTTTAAGTGTGTGTTTGCTGTTTGTTTGTCTGCTGTGTAACTCACTCTTATTCTGCCTTTATGACCAAAGACACAGTTCACCTTTGACCTGTACTTTATAAGCATAAAAAAAAAAAATGTTTAGATAAAAGAGCTTCAATACCAGCAAACGGCTTAGTGTACAGCTCCATATTATCCACTCATAATCTCTGAATTATGATTAAAATGAAAATGTATATCTGCACATCAGACCACTGATGATTTATCCGGTGCCATCGAGATGGTAAAATGAATCACATTTAACAACCATGAGACTTCAGTCATAATCATGCATGGTACTCTTGAACCTGAAATTAAAAATCTTGATGGGCTCAACAAAAATGTGTGAACATTAAAACCTCTTAATACAATTTAGGGTCTGAGTTTATAATAGAAACGCATAAAATGATTAGATATATGTTCAAATATAAATTGAAACTTACGTTTCTGTAACCTTTCCTGACATCTGCTTTGAATTTGGTATGCCGAGTGTGTTTTTTTTTTGAGATTACCACAATTCATTCCGCAAACTAACTAAACACAACAATACATTTTAGCTCTTCAACTCTCTTAACCCATTTGGGCGTCTTTGACAGGGAATTATTATTCATCATGTTTTATCTAACTCAAGGGCATCCAAGAGGGCACTTCTTTGCGTTTTTATTTTCACAAACATTAGGGCACAAGGGGCGCCCCCTCCCCTGAGTCCACCATTGGCAGTTAAAGTACAGGGCAGGTGTCTAGGTGTGTGATGTCCGCCTACTAACAGCGTTGAGGTGTTTTAATAACCTTGGTGTGACAGAAGATGGTTTGCTGTGAAAAACATCAAGAGCATATAGAAAGGTAACGTATGTCTTCACTTGCTAAAATGCATGCCATTCTAATATTTGAACATTTTTTAATTAATCTAAGTGTTTTAATTACTGACACCTGAATATATTACTCCCATCTGTCTTTCGTTTAAAGATGGCTGAAGCAGCTAGGAAAATCACAGTGTCACCATCATCTCATGATGACGACGACCTGCCTCTCCCCCCACCTCCTCCCATACCACCAAGGCCCCTTGACTATAAAGGGTCTTCAGGAAGTAGCCTTCCTGTGCCTCCACCCAAAGAAACCTTCTCTGGGTTCTACCAAGAACGGCAAAAAAGTGAGCTTAAGAGGCTCTTCAAGCACATTCACCCGGACCTAAGGGCAAATCTTGATGTTGCAGTGGATGATGAGATATTAAAGGCGGTGCAGTCCGAAAACCCTCAGGCAGCGGACGCAGGTTATCAGGGGGAAGTCCAATCAATGAGGTGGATCTTTGAGAACTGGACTCTGGACAACATTGGGGATACACATGAAACCAAGAAGTTGTTGTATGATGAAGAGCTGAAAGGTGGAGATGTTAGCGGCACCTCCTCTATGTTTGAGCACATTGACAGCACCCAACAAATGTCTGCCAAAAGACAGATTTCAGTCAGGGGTGATGTGAGAACATCAATGTGGCTGTTTGAGACCCAGCCCTTAGATTCTCTAAATGAATCAAAGAGAGAAGAAGGTGAGCTGGTTGAAGCAGTGCTGAAAGAACCGATCCAGACTGGAGATGTGAGAGGGACTCGGCTGCTCTTTGAGTCTAAACCACTGAGTGACTTGGGACGCTGCAACTCTGTAGAAGACCACAGCTTCCTAAAACTGAAATCTGAGCTTCAGGAGCAGAAAGGAGATGTCCATAAAACATTAAAACTCTTCCAGGCAGAACCCTGCTGTGCCATCAGGGACAAGAGTGGCAATATCCATGAGATCAAATCTATCTGCAGGGAGGAGATCAACAGCAGTAACATCAGCACTGCGCGTTGGCTTTTTGAAACACAGCCACTGGACCTGATTAATAAGGGAACTGATGGGGTAAAAGTTATTCGGGGTATCTCTCTGGAAGAGGGTCACAGAAGAGGAATTGACCAGAAGAGATGGATGTTTGAAACTCAGTCATTTGACACAATACAAGAAGTTGTTGGAGAGGACAACTTTAAAGGAACATTGGCTGAATGTGCAGGAGAGGCAGACGTTGGGAACAAGAGAAAACTCTTTGAAATGCAACCGTTAGAAGCACTGAAAGGAGACTCTGAAGAAAAGTCTTTGGAAAAAGAGGAAGTCATTGGAGGAGATGTAAAAACTTCTCTGTGGCTATTTGAAACTCAACCCATGGAGACTCTTAATGATAGCTATGAAGTTGGGTGTTTGAAGAAAGTCACCATTTCAGCTGACGAACAAGGAGAAGTTAAAGACAGAAAACAAATATTTGAGAGTGGAAGTATTAAGAAGAACACCTCGGTCAAGGAACAAGGGATTGAGAAAGGTGATGTTAAGGGATTCAAACACCTTTTTGAAACAATACCTTTGAGCAAAATTGCTCATTCTGATGAGGCATCAGTAGTGAAGGAACAAGTTATTGTTGCAGGGAATGTAAAAGACAACAAAGCAACATTTGAGACAACTCCCTTATATGCAATAAAGGACTGCTCCGGAAACCTACATAAAGTCACAACAGTCAGCCGGGAAGAATTAATCAAAGGGAAGGTCCAAAACTACAAGTGGATGTTTGAGACTAAGCCTTTAGACAAACTTGCAGAGGGGAAAGAAAATGTTGAGGTCATCAAAGGCATCACAAGACATGAGGACACAACTGGCGATTTCAAGATGGCAAAGTGGCTTTTTGAGACACAGACAATAGATGGGATCCATTCCAAGTTCAACCAGACAGAGATGAACGTTTCTGGTGAAGAAGAGTCTTGTAAAGGTGACGTAAAGACCTGTAAATGGCTGTTTGAGACAAAACCAATGGACATTCTGTATGACAAATCGGAAAAAGAACATGATAAAGAAACCATTGACAATGCCGATGTTAAGTCCATTACTTGGCTTTTTGAGTCACAGCCTCTTGACAGCATCAAAGATGGAGGAGAATACAACTTGAAGCTCTGCAGCACCACACAGGATTCTGTCAAATCAGGTGTTGGTGTGCAAACAGTAAAACATCTTTTCGAAACAGAAACCATGGATAGAATAAGAAGGGGTGCAAATCCTGAACATGATGTGAGATGTGTCAGCCAGGTCAACTTTCAGTCTGGAGATGTCTCACGAGTCAAAGACATTTTTGAATCCCAGTCTCTGGATGAAATAGGGTCAGAAATGATGACAACATGGGATCAACAGAGCCAAGATGAACAGATTGAAAAAGGTTCAGTCCATACATTTACTTGGATGTTTGAGAACTGTCCCATGAACCTGATCAATAAGGACAAAAATAATGCAAATATTCAGAGAGTCACTGGTGCAGAGAGTGGTGATGTTCAGAACAAAAAGTTTATCTTTGAAACCTCCTCACTGGACAAAATTCAAGATCAACCCATTGAACAGGAGTCAGACTCTGTGGAACAGCCTGTGAGCAATGTTGATGTAAAGTCAAGCACCATGATGTTTGAGTCCATGCCACTGTATGCCATAAGAGACAAAGAGGGCCTGTTTCATGAAGTTACAACTGTGAAGAAAGAGGAGGTAATGAGTGGTGATGTAAGAGGAGCAAGATGGATGTTCGAGACGAAACCCCTTGATGCAATCAAAGCAGAGAATGAAGTTTATGTGATCAGAGCCGTCACCCAAGAGGACGTCAAGAAAGGAGACGTAAAATCAGCAAAGTGGAAATTTGAGACCCAACCCCTGGACTCCCTTACCCCCCGAGACGAACCCTCTGTCAGAGTCGTTGAAGACTTAGGAAGTAGTAATGTGCAGCTCAATAAACAAATATTTGAATCTGAGCAGTCAAGCAAGAAGTTTGTGCGAATGGTTAGTGTAACTGATGTCCAGCATGGTGATGTCAGGACATCCACTTGGCTCTTTGAGAATCAAGCCATCGACAGTCTAAAAGGGGAACCTCAGGAGGAAGGTCCAGTTAAAACAGTCCACAGAGAAGACAGCCAGAAAGGAGATGTGAAACGCTGCACTTGGATGTTTGAATCACAGCCGCTGGACAAAATCAAGGAGTCTGAGGGGACGTCAGTGCAAAGTTCTGAAGAGGAGATACCAAAAGCTGATGTGAAGTGCACCACCTGGCTTTTTGAGACTACTCCCCTGGACAAAATCCTTGCAAGCAGTGTTGCTGACACCCTGTCCTATCTGTACCAAATGAACTATGTTCACTCAAGTGGCATCATAATAGAAGCAAATGAGAACAAGAATGTTAACATGGCAAAGTACTCACTCGAAAGTAATGAAGGTGTGCAAATCCAGAAAGAAGATATTGTCGGGGGTAACATCAGGAACATCATGCTACAACTAATGCTCAAACCAACATCCAACCTAAAGCCCCAAGTTTGTATTCTCAGAGAACTGGAGAAGGGAAAAGTCAACACCACTGTAGTAGAACTTCCAATTTACCAGTCATCCACGACTATCAACCTGGAGAGGGATCAGAGAACACAAAACATTGTCCAGATGATCGAGGAAATGCTTGTTCAAGTTAAGGGTCTGAAAAAAGGAATCATAATGCAAGAGACTAAAGAGGGACAAGCGGAAATGTCAGTTTATTCACTTATCTGCAATTATGAAACAAAAACCGACAGTCATGTTATAGAAAAGGGAGATGTTAAGTCTACAATTGGAAGTCTTTTAGCTACGGCCAATAGTCAGAGGACTGCTGCATCATGTGTAGTGGACAAAAACGAAAAGGGAAATGTGAATTTGTACAAAAGTTGCATTGAGAAAGGAGATCTGCACTATCTGAAAAGTCTTCATGCTGAGGCATCAGGAGATGAAGTTGATCACAGCCTTTTGGCTGAGGAGCATATTGAAATAGTTCAAGGGGATGTGAAGGAAGCAAAAAGAAGTCTTTGTCAGCAAAAAGACCAAGTAGAGCGAACCATTTCTGATGTTTTGCCAGGGGATGTAAAGAATACTAAAAAGGTTTTTTCATCAGAGTGCTCCATCAATGTTGAAAACTGTCTCCCAAAAGAAGAAATAATCCCTGGGGACATCTCAACAGCAAAGCAACAACTTGCAGAAAAGCAACCTGTCACTGTAGAAAAAGAGGACATTGTGGCTGGTGACATCAAGGCAACAATGCAGTCATTGGAACGTGCAAAGCAACAGAGCATGCTGGTTGAGCGGGAGCTCATTAAACCTGGAACTATCTATGACATGGACTTGTCAGCTGAAGTTCCTGAATTAGAAAATAGCCATGCACAAAAAGAGGTCATTGTATCCGGAGATGTAAAAGCAGCAAAAAAGTCCCTGGAAATGGCCAAGCAGCAGAGCATGCAGGTGGAACGTGAAGTCGTTGTCCCTGGAAAAATATACAACGTGAATGTCAAAACACAAGAGCAAAGCACGTCAGCAACGACGCAATCTACATGTTCGTCTTCCTCCAGATGTCAGCAAATCAAGACAAACATTTCAAAGGTCAGTGAATCAGGGAAAGCTAGGGAAAGCTATGTTTCCTGTGAGGCTAGTCAACAAAGTGCAGTTATAGTTAGTAATTGTGCACCAGTATCACAGCCACCATTTGTAAGTTATGAGTGTAATGGTCAGACAACAGAAGATGAGACAGAAGGAATTGTCAGGGGAGATGTGAAGGCAGCTATTAAGTCTCTGCAGAGTGCTGCAACAGAGCAGAAGCTCCCAGATAAAGAAGATATTGTAAGAGGTAATGTCCAATTGGCTCTGCAATCTCTTGAAAAGTCTAGTGTAAATGTATCCAAAGGAGACTATAAAGCTGCAATGATATACAGAAATTCAGGGAGGGCTTGCTCAGGTAGGAGCGAGACTGTTCACAATCAATGTGTTGTGGTGTCTATGCCTCCATCTGACACAAAACTGTCTCCTTCAATTTCAGTAACCTATGAAGGACAACCAACCATTACAACACAGAATCCATCAACCAACCCTGTAGCAAATGGATACTCTAATTCATCCAGCCCTGAGAGTGTATCTCCACCTCCAATCCCTCAAAAAACAAGTGGGAAACTGCAAGTGCAGAGGCCAGCTTTACCACCAAAGCCCCAGTGGACGAAATCAGTAGTTGTGGAAGAAAAGAATACTACATCGAGTCCTGCTCCTGAAATCATTTGCCCCATTAAACACAAAATGAAAAATTCAGCAATTCCACCAGTTCAAGGCAAAGAACTCCCAAAACCTTCTACAGATAAACTACAAGAAAACACAAGACCCAACAAAATAGGTAAAGAGACCTTGCATGAAACCTACCAAGAAAGATGTTTGGATGAAGAAGTGCAACAGTCAGATCAGGCAACTGAACATCTACCAATGGACTCCAAAGCCCAGGACATTAAGAAAACAACACCATCTACAGGAAACAAATCAGACTGCCAAGGGATGATATTAAACACCTATGAAGGGGTAATGGAGAGAAATGTCATACAGAAAATAAATGCAGCTGAAGAGATACAAATATGTATGAAGAATTACGCAGAAGAAGGTAAACATGAAATGAACATGAGCCTGCAGGCCGCGCTCAAAAACTTTGAAAGGAAAGAAAGTCACACTCTGGACAAAAGAATCCCTTCATCGTCCAAGAAGGTCAAACTAATTCAAGACAATTTAAGTGATCATGAAAAAACCAACAAAGCCAAAACTCAACAAAACCAATCACATCCCAAACCTCCAGAGAGACAAATCAACCTTGAAGAGAAAGTTGTTTTAAGAGAAAAGAAAGTAAAGGAGACAGATGACCAAAGACGACAAAGACTTTCTGTCCACAAGGACGAGATCATGAAAGGAAATGTGGAAGCAGCAATGGAAATCTTTGACAATTTGAGAAAACGAGAGGAACTCAAAGGAATCCTGAGTCAAGTGCAAGAGATAGAGGGTGAGACCAGCAATACAGATGTTAGCTCATTGAAGACAATATATGACAATGTCCCTGCTTGGATAGATACACCTAGTAGAAATGCACAGCGAAGAAAAACTGAGGAAAAGAAAGTTGAAGCAGAGCCACAGGACGATGATCTGGAAAGCATCTCCTCCGTTGAGACTGCATTTGAGGATCTGGAAAAGGCAAGCAAAGAAATAATGAATCTGAAAGAACAAACATTAGCAAAACTTCTAGACATTGAAGAGTCAATTAAAAAGGCTTTGTATTCAGTCTCCAATCTGAAATCTGAGGCAGACATTGCAGGATTGTCAGGACTATTTGACGAGTCTTTGAAATCTGATCAAAACTTTCAACCAGTCAACAACATCAGGAAAATAAGTATCGTGTCAAGCAAAGCCAAATCAGGTCAAATCAAAGAAAAGTCTGATGTGAATTTGCAAACAACTTTAGATTCAAGTCAATCTACAGAAGGATTACCCAGGAAAGTGCACAATAAGCCACTCATCAGACAGTCCTCATCCCAGTCTTCCCCTTCATTCATCTCCATTCACTCAGCTGCCAGGAAGCCTGTTGAACAACAAAAGTCGACCATGTCAACCTTTAATCCAAAAACAGATAGCCATTCTCATAGTTGCCCTGATGCAAGTAGTGATCTGGGACTGGAGTCTGTTGCTGTAGACACTTCGAAAGGTGGTCACAGTCCTGCACAACGCAAGGTCAGTGTTCTTGAGGTAAAAACTGTCCCAGAGCAACCAGCAGGAATAATTGGCAAAAAGACTGTGAGCGAAATGTATGAAGAAACCGATGGCTTTGGCAATGTATTTGTTTCCTCTGTGACTTCAACTGTTGTCACCAAACATTCAGACAGCAAATCATCTGCACTTTTTGAAGTAGTTGGAAGTCCAGCCAGATATGAAGTCATGACTTCCCCATTAATTCGAAGATCTGGACGCCCATTTGATGACAAAGTGTTGAGCAACCCCAAGGAGGAGGGGACAGTGTTTGTCACATTCAGCCAACCAAAGGAAAAGCAATAGTTAACAGTTCTCAATTATTTTATCCTAGGAAAGCAGTTATTCCATTTTGTATTTATTATCTTTTTTTTCTTGAAAAAAGGTTGTGTTAGTCATACAATTGATCCTATGAAGTTATCAAAAAGTTTAATATCATTATTTTTATTGTCTAAGATTTTTTACTGTAACCACATGATAGTGTAGTTTTAAACTGAAGCTAGGCATATAATTGATACCTTATGTTTTGTTGTGTAAATTGTCAAATAAATGACGCTTTAAAAGATCCCATCTTAAAATGTGGTTTCTCTTTTTTCAACAGATTTTTGGATTGTTTTTTCTCCACATGTTTAAAACTGAAACACTGGTGACACAAAAGAACAACACAAAAGAATACATCAGCCTAAAAACCATTGTATTACTCTAATTACTCTATAAAGTATTTTTTCTAACAAAGGCTAGAAGCAGAATACAAGTAATTTCCATGTAGACTTAATCAATGAGTGGACATGGCCAAAACTTAATAAATATACACAGGTGTGTTCATTTTTATGTGTAAAGAGCAGCAAGCACCTACATTGTTGCTGTCATGTGTAAAATTACTTATTAATTTAATTTGAGCATAAATCTGACTTCATGACAATGGTTTCATTTAAAAATGAATACATTTTTTGTTTATATTTTTACAATAATGGGTAAAATATACCATTTTAAATCATCATTTTATATCTTTTTTAACCAAGTCTTTAATTTATCTGACATATCTGACAGAAGGACACCATCCACATCAGCTATTGACATCACTTGTATGTTAGCACCATTATTTTCTAGAAAAATGTTGGCTTCTTGGCTGAAATTTGAGTCTTATGTCAATTACATAGCATACATACACATTACTTCAAAAGCACCCTCTATGCATCACATACAAATAATTGAGTTGATATTGATTTATGGGGAGGATTATGAAATTTGCATGTTTCAAAAATCTATTAATTTATTTTCTCTTGGTACAAAAACAGCCCTGCTCAAATATGTTTAGTTAGGTCTCCACGTTGCTGACTGCACTTGTTATACCTATACATTTTTTCAAATAAAAATGTTTCCACAACTGTGGTTGCCTTAATTCTAACAATAAATCTGCAACAAATCAAAGCTAGATATGTGATATTCAATGGTATTGTAATAATTCAGATTGGCTCCTTCAAGTAAAACAATGCTGTTGATGTGAGCATTGATTTAAAGTTTTTTTTATTTTATTAAAGTAGCTTGAAAACATAGAAAATGTATCATTCAACCATAATAAACCACTCAAATATACCTGCATATTTTTTTATAAATTAAAAATACGATAGAAAGATTATTTGAATTCAAATGTTTAATGAAGCATCCTGGTCACGTTAAAATTATTTTGTTGTATCGTCATAGTTCCTGTCACCCGCCAAGGAAATGTGTTCTGCCTGTCTGACACCTGTCTATCCAATGGAAAAAATGGTGGCCAATAAACTTGTCCTGCATAACAGCTGTTTCTGCTGTAAACACTGTAAGAAGAAGCTCAGGTGAGATATCTTTCAGAGTATTATAAAATGACTCTAATCATCGCTTATAAAAGATATTAATCATAATTGAAACGTAAACTTAGTTGATTATAACAATGGCAATAATGAATAAAGCCATTGTTAGTGAGGATTTAAGAAATTAAAATGTGATTATTGAATTCTCCAATCCATTGAAATCATGATTGAAGCTAGTCTAGCACTAATTACAAATCATATAACAAATTTATTTGAATGTTGGCCCGAATACAACAACATACTTTGTTTTACTTCATTGCAGCATTCACAACTATTCATCTCTTTATGGGGAGTTCTACTGCATTTCTCACTACCAACAGCTTTTCAAAAGAAAAGGGAATTATGATGAAGGATTTGGTCACAAGCAACATAAAGACCACTGGCTTCAGAAAAATAAATGCACAGATGAGCCAGATGCTGGATCTACTCCTAAAATGACAAAAAGTACAAAAAGCAACTTGAACACTGATGGCATCAGAGAGTCTTATGCTAATGTGTTTGTCACAAAGTCACCTGCAAGACAGTTGGGATCCAGTAGTAGTAGTACTGATGTTAAGGGCAAACTAAAAATGAGCTGGCCACCAGAGAAGAAGAGTGCAGGGGTGAATCCATCACAGCAAACTTACATGAAAAACAAGATATCAGACATTTGCAAAGCATCTTCTTTTAGTAAGAGCTTGTCAGAGCATCCAAAGAGTGACACCAACCAAGTAAAGGTTAACCATGGTGGAGAAACTAAGGACAAAGTGAAGGCAATGTCAAGCTTCTCCATCTCAGACATAAAGGAAGTATCTAAGACAACAGTTTATAACTCAAATGAGAAGGTCAGCTCAAAGGAAACCAAAACAAAAAATGATCCAATCAAAGCAGGGCCTTTCAAACACAGTGTGGACGGCATCACTCCAAGAGTGCTTAACTTTTCGGCGCCAACCCGAGAGAAAAGTGTAACTGACACAAACCAAAAACCAGAACAGAAAAATGTGACACCAACTCCAAAAACCAACCACATACCAAATCTCAAAATGCAGGACAATTATCCAAATAAAGCTAAGAAGTCTGTAAGGTTTTCTCCAAAAGTTGACGTTGCTCAGTATGAACTATCCTCTCAACCGAACCCAGGAGACAAAGACAAAGAGGACACTACTCAGCTCTCAGACCCAACTGAAGATAGCATGCTGAGTCATTCCAAGGGTACAAAAGATGTCAGTAATGAAAATAATACTAACAATTTGTCATTGGAGAGCAAAGGTGAGGTATTCCTTGAAATCCCTGAATTTAAACGTAACAGAACAATAAGCAAGACATCAAACCAAGAGCCAGAAGTTAAGGTGGAGAGCAGTCAGGCGGAGTTAACAGTTATGGATGGAGATGTAGAAAAGGTTGAGGAATCAGTTGATGCTTTCACTGATACTATTAAATCCACTCAAGAAGTTGCTGAACATCAAGAGCCAACTGAGAGATCAGATATCAATCCAACCGTCAACCCAATTAAATCAGAAAATCCAAGTGCTCCTACAGAACATCTGAACAGAGAGGAGGCTGAACTTGAGGAGAATAAAAATCAGTTAGGAAAGACTTTTGATTCTGCCAATGACCAAGAAAGTGTCAGTCTGAGGAAGCCTGTTGTAAGAACAAAGTCACTGAAGGGTTCTGCAAAACCTGCTGAAAAGCCAAAGGCCAAGTTTGGATCCTGGTCCAAAGGAAAGAGTCCTTTATCGAAATTCTTCACAACAGTTGGAAGTGACAAGACGAACAAAGGTGAACCCAAAGATGTTAAGAAACCAGATGTCAAACCAAGTGGTGGACTTTTAGGAAGACTGTTTCAATCATCCTCAGAGATGGCTGAGGACACAACGAAACTGGAAACGCAAGAAGAAAAAAATGACACAAATACTGATCACAAAACAATTGAAGAGGTAAAGGAGCATGCTCCTGAAGAAACACTAAAGATAGGTGACATGTTGGAAGTACTAGTGCAGGAACAAGAGGCTGTAGAGCATAAAAAAGAAGAGTCACCTTGTCCAGAGCCCAACACACAAAGTCAGACAGTAAGCAAAGAGCCATCTGACCTGCTCAAGACAGCAGCAAGTGAAACATTGGATGAGCTAACTGCTCCAGAAAGAACTGATTCAACTGATGATCAAGACTCAGATTCACAAAGGAGTCAGTCTTTTTGCTTGTCTTCCACTGAGCCTGAAAAAGCTGAGTCTAAAGATATTCCCATTACTGTTGAATTAGAGAGCCAAGCATCCAATGAATTAAGCATCCAGTCAATAGCAGAGCAAATAGATGATGAAGAATTCAAAGCTCCATTTAATGATGATATTTTTGGGGATAGTTTCAGTTCAGCCAATGTTGACCCATTTGCTATTCAGATAAATACTGATGAATCAGCTCAAACGCCAAATGGACTGCTTGATGCTAGAGACGTAGAAGGACAAGACCTGTTTGGTGGAGCGCTACTTGATACCAATGATGGCTTTCATCAAGAATCTTCTGATGTTTTTGGTTCACTTGAGCCTAGTGATCCATTTTCAGCTTCTTTAGGTGACAAGGTTCTGTCCGAAGTGGCTCCTGCTAATACTTTTAGTCTGCTCGAATCTCAAACTGATTCAATATCGGCTGCGGGGGAGGGGATGCTTAGCCTGACGGATTCTCTTATTGTCCCTGATTCATCGTCTGTAAACCAAACAGAAGATCAAAGTCCCTTTAATCCAAGCGGTGAGACCAATGAGCAGGAAAGCAACTTTGACATCTTCAGTTCAAATGACTTTCTGTTCACTCAATCACCAGCTGATAATGAGCCTCATCAAGATGGAGCCAGTGCCTTGACAAACCAACCCTCTGCCTTTCCCGATGACATATTTGGAGTCAGTGACGTCTCAGGCACTGTAGATGCGTTTTCAATGCTGTCGCCATCCAGCCCTCAAACTTCTGACTCACTAAACGATTTACTCGGTGCAGATACATTTTCTGCTGTGGCTCCTTCAGCACAGACAGATCTTTTTGCAGGTGACATTTTTGCATCAGAACCACAGCTGCTGCCAGTGTCTGAGCCGAATGATGTGGATTTTTTTGGGGACAGTCTCTTAGTGTCCGACAACAACAGCAGTGAGCAACCAGCAAAAAATACTGTCACCAACAGTAGCTGGATGGATGATTTACTCGGGTAAAAGCAGTACAATGTTTACATGATTAAAAAAAAAATTTGGATGCACAACAGTAATAAAAATGGTACGGCACAATGTTTCTGAAATGCACAAAAATTGATACAATAATCATTCAAATGTAACGAGTTTAGAAAACAGAACAACTTGATTCATTTACTATTCCTTTTCATTTTGAAATATGTATCAAATAAATTCTGTGACAATTATCAGCCTTTCAAATATGGACTTTACATTACACTTAGAAGATGGAAATGTTTTCACATGGTTTGATTAAGTTAAAATAGATCACATCAAGAGAAGCATGAAATTTTATGTACTGATACATTTTTTTCAAAGTTACTTTCCATGAATAAACTTTTAATAAAATAAAGAGTCAATATGTTTTACGTTTGATTTGTTTATGATATGTTTGTTTACAAATGAGAAAATGAAGCTGTCAATACACTTATATAAAAGTTATGTGTTTTGAATGTATGATTCATGTGTAATAAAATTACTTTGGGCACTTATAATGCTTGTTTGATGACACTTTGAAGTTCAATATAGGTGCCTTTAAGTATATTATACATTTCAGCCTCACCTTCAGGCCAGACCCAAGTTTTATACGTTTTTTTAGTGCAATACTTTTACATTGTGGGACACATGATTGCTTTCTGCCCTTTGTCATCCAGCCATTAATAATTACATGCAGTCAGTTTCAAGTTTTCACTTGATTATTTCAATGCTAGAGCTACAGCTTGGGTTTAGCATAAAGACTGGACACTGTTAGCCTGGCTCTGACACATTGTCAAATATCACTTTCACACAAGTTTTTTATTGTTGAAATAAACAACATAGGTTTGCAGCGTGAGGAAGTAACAGTAAGTAGCCTAGCAGGGGCATTAGCCTATACTGCAAATACTAGTGGAGTTTCTACACGTTCAGATATCAAATAGCTTCTCAGTAGCTTAGCTCTTCAATTGATCCATTGAGGTGGCGGCATATCAAGCTACATTTCAGAAGCAGTATTTTGAATGTGGAGCATATCAGAGATGTCTGCTGTCTGACACGAATCTGCTAACACTCAATAGATGACTTCACCCAAAACACAGACTTGTATGAGTGGCTGACACAACTTAGCCATTGTTAAGTTTACTTGATAGAGAAACACATTTAGATGATTCCCAAGAATGCTAACAAAACCAAAGTCAACAAAGTTAGCTGTCAATAGAGCAGTCTGCACACACCATAGCTACAGCTAGCAGAACATATGAGAGGGAAATGGCGCACAATAAACAAGTTTGAATTTTTAAAAGTTTGGTTTGAGAGGAGCCAAGGGGTAAGTTGACCCACTACCTTGTTCATGTGGCGATATATCAGGAAGCATAATTTCTACCTCTCTGTGATGTCGAGAATCACACATGAGAAGTGCTAAGTATTTTTGTCAAAGTAAGTATTGGTGTATTTACGTTTATGTAAATAAAATTTGTGAAGATCTTTCAATGATGTATTTGTAAAATAGTTGAGAAAACCACATGAAACATGTCTGAAGAATAACCTGAAATGCTAAGCTATTTAAAAATGGTGGCCATGGGAACAAGTGGAGTAAATTGTGACAGAAGTTATCAGAAGTTAATCAGAAACAGAAGCAAGTAAATATTAAGAAATGTATATGTTGATGTTTTCCTCAAGTTCTTTAAAGTTTACTTTTAAAGTCATTGAGCACCTACCTTACAGATGTTGGAAACAGCTCTTGGATAAAAATACAGCATATTGTACCCCCCCACATCAGGAGAACACACGCTATGACGGCTAAGGCCGTAACAGCGTTGTTACATCCTGAAAAAACAAAACATACCATGCATAAAACAACTTTTTTATAACTAAATGGGCATGGTAGAAAATAGTGCTTTGCTTATATGTGCTGGAGTTTCCCCTGAGGAACAGCCAGGATAAGTATGCAAGAGATTCCTCCAAACAGAATTGTAGCTATCAATAATTTTTTTCTTCCAAAAACCTCCAGCAACCACATGTTGAGTGTGTGGGCTGGAATCTCAATCGCTCTGAACAAGAACTGAGTGAGGAAGATGCTCAAGGCTAAGTTTGCCATATTGAAGAACAGGCAATACACCACAAGGGTCGTAGTAAACCTGCAGCAAAGACACAAATGTGACACATAGATTCAACTGAGCACAACTAATTAAATATAGGATATATTTTATAGCATTTATAATATCCACATGATAACTTTAGCATATGTAGAGTCTTTATACACGTAAACGCTTAAAAGTTACACACAGTAATTTCATCCATTCTGAATTTAAAAAAAGTAAAGTTTTTGGAAATTTCAACTCACATTGCCAGTACAATTATAAAGAAATATTTCATCAGCACAGGGGATTTAAATAAAACTTGAATGCCTCCTTTGTTTCCAACTTCTTTCACATCAATCTGCAATAAAAAATGATCAACAGAGTAAAAAATTGAAGATAGAATGTGCAACATTTTAAACATAATTACAGCAGAAGTCCAGTATATCCTAAATGTAAATGTCCCTCTGAGTCATGACAGTCTACAATGAGTGAGACACGCAAGTCCCGCAAGCTGTGTTATTGTCAGAGCCGCATTTACATCAGGTTTACATGGACGGGACGCCGTCCTAACATTAACCTGCTAACAAAACAATTCAGGCCACAGGCAATTGCAGCTCAAGCCAAGGACAATTTTGTCCGCTGCCAGCGCTTAATGGTGTTTAATTATGATGTGTTCCAATTTAACTATGTGGTCGCTTTTTAGATAAGCTAATTTCTTTGGGCAAACTCAACACTATATTTTTTGAAAGCACAATGAGACTGTATAAAAGATCCCCAAAGGCTCCCCAAAAGTGAAGCCTATATTTAGAGCTCCCCCTACTGACTGACTGCAGTACAGGTCATGAACAGTCTCCTCAATGTTAACAAATGGGACATGAGTCAAACTATAAAATGAAAGTACACTGCACATAAATGTATCTCAAACATGGTTTGTGTTTTAAAGTTAGGTCTAATCACACTGATATGTGTCTGAGAGTTTGTTTCTCAGAGAAGTTGAGTTTTGGTTGTTATTTGATGCTATAAAAAAGTTATAACGATATGATTGACAGCTCTGTTGGAAAATGAGGCCCTTCTAGCACTGTGTGATTGGCAGAAAAGAGGAGGAACAGCGATAGAAATCATATTGGATTTCACTTTTGAAACAGGGGGGGAAGTGTTGTCCATCTTCAATACCTGAAACAAATGCAAACAGCCTGCATTCTTTCTAATGACCAGAGGGGGGAGCACCCTACTTGTTTTAAGAGAAGTCCAATTTGATGGAACATGATGAGAAAATGACCCTACTGATTTATCAGGCCTGTTAACATTTTCCTTGTTTCAAGTCTTAATTTCAACCATAGAGATTCACCCTCTCATTCAAATATTGTCACTTCTTGCTAAAAAAAAAACAACAAACAAAAACAGAACAAGATGACAATAGCTAATATGCCAAAGTTAGGGTACCAAAAGGGGAGTTCACAAACCAATACATTAAGTCAAAGTGGCTACATCTACCTCTTATAAAAGTCCATATTGTAAGAAAACTAATGTGGAAGGTTCAGTACCTTTTCCAACACGTAGTCTGGAACAGTGCGCTTATTGATGGCTGCTGCCTTCATGATCAGCTGTTTGGCCTCTTCTGTCTTTCCTCTGTTCAACAACCACCTGGCTGACTCTGGAATAAACCTGACAGAAACAAACCGACTGATCAGATATTCTGTAATTTACAAATAAAACAAAAATGGAAATTATCAAGAGGTAATACACACCAAATGTAGACGACGGTAAGAGTAAGTGGAGCTGCTGTGATGAGTTGTGTGACTCTCCAGTCTCTCATGATGTAGATCAGACCAGCGAGGATGCATTGACCCACTGCACCAAATCCACTCAGTGGCTGAGTTAAGAATCATACACAGCATGTTTTAGTAACATGGGAACATTTCACATATTTTGATTTTATTCACAATTTAAAGGATAAACATCATAATCAGCTCATTTTGAAATAATGACATTGCCATGAACCATCAAATTTCTGTTATGTAGGTTTCTTTAATATGTTGTCTCAGGTATATTATAAAGTATATATCTAAAGGTCTTTGAAATTCATGATATGTAATAAGTAGAGTTAAATGTGTTATAGGAACTGAGAGTACTCACACAGTATGATACAGTTGACTCGAAAAATTCCAGCTCCAACTCCCACTATGAGCTGGAAGGCTAAATACAGGTAGAAATTTGGGCTTAATGCTGCTGCTATGATAAAAACAAACAATATAACAATAGGGATTTGATTTGCGACCAAACCTGCAACAGAAAGAGAAGTACAGATACACAGCGTGTTAAGGAGTCTCACAGCTGCTGCAGAACCTTGTTCAAGAAAACTTTGAGACTTTGAAGGACCTTTTTTAGACAACACAGAGGGATTTCTTTATACCTGTTCCCCAATAAACTGTCTAAAGTGTGTCAGTATGAAACGTGTCCCCTTGCTATGCATGCCATGGCAATGTACAGTCAATTTGTTGGGCTCCATGCATGTATAGTAAATACATGCCTTCTTGACCTGAAATAATGGAATACCTTTTCTTTTTTTTAGATGTCAATGTATTTTGCTTAAATTGACACAAAAAACAAGCTTTCTTGCTAGGGTTGCAGTATTGATGTTTTTTAGTTTGATGGGGCTCACTGAGACACAGTTACATTTTTCCTGAAACCTAAACATTGTAGAACTGAACTCCTAGAAACAATGTTTAACACTTTCAAACCCATCCTGATCCATTCAGAGAGACTAAGCAATGCTTTATAATTCTAAGACGCACAGACACTAGTGGTGTTTTCATCCTGACCTGTTGTTGAGTTAACAGATGTAAAACCCGTTGTTGAGTCTCGCTGTTAAATTCCTCCCAAAATATTTGCTCAAGGTGGCTGAAATATGGCACAGGGGCCAAAAATTAGCAGTTTGTCCTTTTGGCATGGTAGTGGGTGTGGCCCCCTGCCACTTATTATTTAGCCCAGCACCCCTTTATGTTTGAAGGTTGTGTGTCTTTTACCACTTGAAAACATGTACATGTGTGCACATTGTCATAGGTAGGCCTATTGCACATTTGCCCTTGTTGATATGATAAAATTATATACATACTTGGGATATGTGTGTGGTTATTTCTTAACATGAAAGAGGAAAAAAAAACGTCTGCATAGTATTTACATACGATTCAGCAGAAGGTCCAAATATGAGGGAACCAATAAGAACGCCGGCCATGAACACCGTCTGTACTACTTCCACCAAGTTAGCGTTGTCACACACTAGGTTAAACTGTCAAAAAAAATGTTTGATGACATTTTTAATGTGACTGAAACACAATAAATGAATAATAAATGTTTGCTTATTCACACCTCCTTACTTACATCAGTGACCACAGTCCTGTCATACATGTTGTTGATGTACACCCATCCATTCTGGCACCCTGTGATCTCATTTAGTCCGTGCTCCCTGATGGTACTAATGTTCCCGTCCACAGGTTTGAACATCCGACACCTGCTGAAGGTCCCATCCTCCTCCCGGGGCAGAGTCAGGTTCAGCTGCTCCTCTGGGCTCAGGTCAGGATCAGCACTGAGGATCCAGTCTGTGTTACAGTGTCGATCCGGATCAAACTCCACAAAAAGAAAACTTTCAAAAATAAAAGCCTGAACCAAATTTGGAAAGCTGAGTGCAAGCAGAGTGAGCTTCTGGAATAATCCAAACTCTCTTATGTGCCTCAGGATCTCCCCGAAATCCGTCATGTTAGAGTCTGTTGTCTTACACTGAAGGTTTGAATGTCTGTGTACCGCAGGTCCAAACAAAACCTGTTGATGTTTAACTTGAACCTGAACCCAACTTCTGAATGTTATCTGTATATTTCAGCAAGCACACCCACACAGAGCCTTAATGGGATACACAACTGGGTCCCAGCCAATGTTTTTATTGAGGCCCTTCATTGGTTAGCCCATGGGTTCTTCAAGTGGCTTTTTTGGGCTCCATACTGAAACCATATTAGTAAAATGTAACCCAGAGATGATTCCCTGTTGAGAGAAATGCGTTTGTTGGTCAAGCTAAAATGCAAACACAAATGAACAACGTTCACAAACCACAAACACTGAGGTGAAACGGGGTAAACGCAGGTTAAATGGTTTGTCCATAAATGTCACAATCCAAATCATTATTTGATGAAAACTGAAAATACTTATATTTTTGGATTTCCACATAAAATTCCTCGCCAATCCGAGTCCATGTCCTGTAGAAAACCAGTTGATCCATAAAAAAAACATAAATTGTAACACAGACATGCAACAACAGAGATCCATTTACTGATGCTCATAGAAATTAATTTGAATTGTTGGTTTCAACATATCTGTTTGTGTTAAAACAAGCTTTACTGCCCATATTTGACAAAAAAAAGTTGTATTTTCATAAAATAGATCCTAACCTGCTGTTATTTTGTATATGTTCTAAATGCAGTTTACACAAAGGATTCAGATTTTTTAACAGAGCCATGTGTGAAGTAAAAAAAAAAAACACCATGTTTTTTCCACAAAACCAACAAAGTGTTGTAGTAAAAAAGGTATACTGTAGGTACAATTTGGATTTCTTACGTCAGGAAAAGTCTGGTTGAATGGATTTGGACGTTAATGTCCTCAACATACTGGCCAAGGTCTGGACATTTTCAGGAGGGATTTTATATTAAGAGGCTTAAGATGTGACACACGTGGGGGGTTGACAACAGACAGTAGTTTGCACATTTTATGAGAAGAAAAGTCTTCAAATTAAGAAAATGTTTAATAATGTTAGTCTCAAATAAAATAATTGATTTTAGATGTGTAAGTGAGCTTTTCAAGACACATTTGAAATACTATTTTATCATTTCAAAAGGGATAAAAGACAATTAGTTACAAATGGACTTCTGAGCAAGGATTAAAAAGCTAAATTTGCTTGGACTGGTAGTTAACCGCTAGAAACATAGAAACAAAACTCAACTGATTTTGACGTTTAATTCTTTGCAGATATATATGTCCAGTATTTTATATATATAACTTTGCATATGTCTGTCAGTCTGAAAACAAAACAAAGCACAGAGAGTTGTTTGAACATTTTTAATTTACAACTTCAGCATCACACTTTAGTGGACAATAGATTTCAGACAGCAGTTAATAATTTAAGAAAAGCTACAGTATTAGTTTAATGTAAAACAAGTTGAAGACATATAAAGTCAGCCAGTGTGGCACAAGATGTAATATCATGGTGTCACTGACATTAACAGGGTTTTTTCCAGCTATCAGATCAGGTTTTTTGGTGTAACAGTTAAATGGAAATCATGAATCATAAAGTACTCAGGAGGATTGATTCAGACAGACATTCAGACTTACTATCAGAAATCATTGAATATCTGCAATAAATGTCAGGCCCATATGGCACTAGTAGCCCAACAACTGACCAAAGTCAACAGACAGGGAGGTGAGTTTAGATATAAGGAGACTACAGTTTCGTAGATTTGCTTTGTGAAGAGTTGTGTGATTCATATTTGTTCTTCGTGGTGACCTGTTTCCTGTGGGACAAAGGAGCACATAGTCATTAGTTTTATCCAACAGTCATTTGTATTATTGGATTGTTGTTGTGTTTTTGCAAGAACAAAAAAAGTGCAGACTTATTTCATTTCATTTCAGTGAACCTGTAACCTTGTGACTCTCTACCTCGAATCAGGAGCATGATACCAAATGAATCACACCTGTTCAATGTCACCCGCTGCACACTATATGTATGATGCGCACCCTCACACTCTCCCTCTTTCTATTTTCCTGGTCGGGGAGCGTTTATACCATCTTCTTGTATTGTTTTTCCTTGTTAAAACCCTCACGATCTTGGCTGCAGATTATCGAGCTGCCGTGTGCTGTATGATTTTCTTTTGCTTATGCAAAGACAAAAACATTTTAAATGAAAAATAAAAATGATTTCATCCTTTAAAAGCTGTTTCTACTTTTGAAAAAAAAAAAATTTACATATTAAATTGCTGCATGTGTGGTTTTCTTCACAGACCCTCCAGTACTGAGAGGGAAGACAGAAAGGTGCTGCAGTAATTGGATCATGGCGTCTCAGGGCAGTGGCGAGAGGGACAGTGGCCTGGAGACCAGTGTGCCCCCGAAAGTGGACTGAGCAGAGCTCACTTTGTGACTCGCGGGTTGACCTCATGCAGAGGCAATTGGAGGATATGCTTAAGATCATCGAATGTATGACTGCAAATCAGCAACTCCTCTTTGATCTGCACCGGCAGATTCCTCCATGTGGTCTGCATCCTGATGCTGTGTCCCTTGCTGCTGGATAAGACCAACAGCTCTGACTGTGGTCCCTCTGGGCAGGTAAATGTTTACGCTGGGGAGGACCACGTTGTGGATGACTCCCAGGGTGGTATGGACGGTTCTGGGTCCTGTGATTTTTCAGTTGAGGCTCTGCTCTCACGGTCGGCCGCCGCTGGGGGACCCTAGGAGCCAGAGATGGGCCAGTCACCCCAGGGAGGCTGCTGCACCCCACTCTGTCCTCAGCCTCCTGAACCATGCAGCCAAGCACGGCCTGGATGGCGTGTCAAAGGTGGGTCCAACCTTTGCACTGTTGGCTTGGTTCAACCACAGGTAGCAGGGTGGCCCATCACCCAAATATGAAGTGCTGCACAACTGATGGGCTGCTGCTGAAGGCTTTGCAGTCCGTAGCCATGGCGTCTAGAGTGGCAAACACCAATGGTGTATCTGGAGGGCCTGATAAGGGACCTGGAGTCCAAGAGCCCAGATAACTCCGGCCAGAGATGGAAAGTGTTGTTTATAGGGTGAGCCAAGGTGCTAGTTCGCAGGCCAGGGTGCTTGGTAACTCCTTGAAACAGCTGACCATAGCTCGACGTCACATCTGGTTGAGCCTATTAGGGTTAGCAGATGCAGACCGCAGTGCTGTGTTGGAGGCCGCCTAGGCACAGAAAGTCAGACTGCGCACACAATCCGTCCAGCGACCGGGGCTGTCAGGCTCTGCGGTGCAGCGAGCCATCAAGAGGCGTGGGAGTTTTTCCCGTGCTCATTTTGCAGAACAGAGCTCTTCCTGGGGTTCTGGGAAGGTAAGGCAGGGACCTCCCCCAAAGCAAGGGCATGGCCACCCACGTTTTTAACCCCGTTCTTGGGAGCGCACTGACCGGAGGCCAGCCAAGTCCCGCCAGCGCCCCTGATGGGGGGTTATCAGGACTGCAGTTTGGGTACCGCCTGTAGTTCAGAGTCTGCCCACCCCACTTTCGAGGGGTTCTGGAGGCCGTGGTAAGGGACAGGTCCCGTTCCACCATTCTGGCCAACGCGATTTCTGCCTTCATAGAAAAAAGGTGCAATACAACCTCTGTCTCCGAAGAGGGGGTTCCATTCGGGGTATTTTGTCGTCCCCAAAAGGATGGGGGAATTCCGCCCAATTCTGGTGTGATTAATCTGGTATAAATCTCCTGATCCAAGGTAGATATTCACAAGGTTACAGATTCACTTTCAAGATTCAAGATTCAAGATTCAAGATTCAAGATTCAAGATTCAAGATTTTTATTTGTCACATACTCATACAGATGTGCAGTGAAATGTAAAGACTGTTCCGCAAGGCCATGCAATAACACTCAAATTAATAATACACATATATACAGTAAAATAGAATATAATGTAAAATTAAAAAAATAAATATTTGAATAAACAAAATATAGAATATAGAATAATGTAAACAGTGTAAAGTGTCAGTGTGTAAAGTGTCCAGGGTGTCAAAGTGCAATGTGCAGATTGGAATGTGTGGTGTGTGTGCATCATGTAGTCACAGTTCTGTTTTGTTTTTAACTGAGGAGAGTGGAGTTAACAGTCCAGACAGCCTGAGGAAAGAAGCTCTTCCTGAGTCTTTCTGTGTTCAAGACTTTGAATTTCCTCAGCTGTCTGAGGTGATAGAGGCGCTGCCTCGCCCTCTTCACCTGACTGTCTATGTGGGTTGTCCATGTTAAATCCTCAGAGATGTGCACCCCCAGGTACTAAGCTGCACACCCTGTCCACCAGCGTCCCATCATTTCTCAGTGGGGTGTAATCGCTCTGCAGTCCTCTCCTGAAGTCCACAATCAGCTCCTTGGTTTTGCTGACGTTCAGGAGCAGGTTGTTGTCCTGGCACCACTGTGAGAGGTTTCCAACCTCCCCTGTATACGTCTGCTCATAAATTTCACGATGATGTTGGAGCTGCTTGTGGCCACACAGTCATGTGTGTACAGGGTGAAAGCAGGGGGCTGAGAACACAGCCCTGTGGTGCTCCGGTGTTGAGGGTGCAGGGGCTGGAGGTGTGTCTGCCCACTTTGACCACCTGGGATCTGTTCGTCAGGAAGTCCAGGATCCAAGCACACAGGGAGGTTGATCAGCTTGGAATGGAGGTTGGTGGGGACTATGGTGTTGAAAGCTGAACTAACATCAATGAACAGCAGTCTCACATAGTCCCCCTTCCTTCTGTCCAGATGGGTGAGGGTGGTGTGCAGTACCTGGGAGACAGCATCATCTGTGGATCTGTTCAGTCTGTATGCAAACTGAAGTGGATCCAGAGACTCAGGGAGCAAGGAGCAGATTTGCATCTTGATGAGTCTCGCAAAGCACTTCATCATTTCTGAGGTGAGTGCTACTGGGCGATAGTCATTAAGGCAAGCTGGAGAGGCATTCTTCGGTACAGGGACAATAATGGCTTTTTTTCAGGCATGTGGGACCACAGACTGACTCAG